GTTACCCTGATATTGGGTTCCCCCTCTTCCCTTTGTCCAAGGGGTTCATTAAAAGCATCCGCGGTGTCTTGCAGCAGTACCGGGCTGCCTTAGCAGGGGCCAATATCCCAGAGTGGACAGAGGACAAATAAACCGTCAGGTTAGGGACAGGCAGGTGCAGGGGAGAAGGGAAAGCAGCAGAAAGGAAATTGGCAAACGCTGTTACCAGTAAACTGGCTTCTCCTTCCAGCTTTTCTTCCTCAGCTTGGTTTGTTCCAAAGAAGGTGGTAGGCCTGATTGCTCCTCCGAGGAAAGGCTGTCTAAGCATGAATAACTCTTTGCCCCCAGCCCTTCTTCTTTCCCCCTGTCCCATGTACATGCTCCTCTTGCGAGTTTGACCCTGCAATGGTAAGATTTGAGACCTGCACAGAAGCAGTCTTGCAGCCACGTTCCCTCTGCACTTTCATCTTGGGGCACCTTTCCACACAAGGACTGTTCCCACCCAGCGCTACACCCAGCAGTTTGTTCTGGTGGGGTTCAAGCCAGGAGAAGTGATTGCTGTAGTATCTGGAAGTGAAGGGCAATGCCCTCCCGGTCTTTCATTTTTCTCTGCGTTACCATGGGTTTTATGAAGTCTACCCCAGCTTATATGTACTTAGACATTGGATTGTGTTTGCATTGAAGTTGTCTACACCATACGGAGTTGCTCTAGTCTTAGTTGTTCACCGATAGCTGCGGGGGGGCTCCCGGTCGGGTAGGCAGAACCAGAGCTCGGCACTAGCACTTGTGCTGCCCTGGTAGTGCTGTGGGATTTCCATCCGGTTCTGCAACTTCTGGTCAGTTTTCTGGAAGCAATTCTAGCCATCTTCACTTATTTTTCTCCAGAGTAAGGCAAACTTCCCTTTCCCCACCATGCATGCCTGTCTTCTAGCAATACACGGGATTCAAGGTTCTGCCCTTGTTACTTGCTTCGGTATCCGCGTCTTTTGTTCCCAGCCGTCCTGGCTGTCACACAGCACTACACCTGCCCCTGGGTCTCCGCCTCGCCTGGGCAGGCGGCAGCGAGTGATCTTGGGGAGTATTGTAGATCTAGCAGCTAGTCTGGATGGTGAACCTGGCACGGCTGCTGCTTCTCCGTCATTCGGCTGTAGATGGGTATTTCGGAGCTGTTTGAGCCAGGGTCACCCAAGGGAAAGGAGCTGTCGTGTCGTGACGAGGTCCTGTTGTAGTAGCAGCAGCGGTTTGTGACCGTTCCTGTGCTGTTACTCTTCCAGCAACTGGAGCACAGCAGACACTGGTGCGGACTGTTATCGACTCCTTCCCTTGCCAGCTGTTTCCCGTGGTGGCCTGGGTCCGCTGTGGCCGGCAGCGTTGTGGGCACAGCACGTACTGTCCCTAATCTCAACTGCAGCGCTGCTGTGCCGCTCTGGGAAATGGCTGGCGAGATCAGCCCATGTTTCAGCAGCAGAGAGCTATCTGAGCTGGTGACTGTGAGCACTTTGAAGCAGTGACTTGCCAGAGTCTCCTGGTCAAGACACCTTCCTGAACCCTCTTTTTTTCTGTGTGTGCACGCACTTACTTTCACTTCTGGAGCTGGGAGGTTGCACTCCAGCACTACTGCATTTGCCCAATGCTTAGGCATTGGAGAAGCACCCACGTAGCATCCATGTGGAGCACGGTCTGTCAGGGAGAGTCCGTTGGTCCTTCCAGCTGGCACAGGGAGCCAGTGGTGCCAGGCTTCCCGGGGAGGAGTCGGGCTGAGCAGACGGCTCTGCCAGAAGTAAGGATGGAGACAAAACTCTCCTTTGCTCTTGCTCGATATGGCTGTGTCCCTTCCCCCCACCCGGGCCAGGATCTGGCCTCCTCATTTTGAAATGGAGAACAGCAGCCGAATCTCAGCACGTTTGCACGGTGCTTTCTGCTCCTTGAAACGCCGGGGTCTGCGCCCACTGGCCCAAATCCCCCCACCCAGGTCCCTGCGCCTGCTATTTCCAGCTGCCCCCGTGATGCTCCGGAGCCAGGGGGCTGGCTGCGCAAAGCCCTTCTCGTGTCACCATCCACTGCCGGGATTTTGGAAGGCATGTCCTGCTCCCGGTGCTCTGGAGGAAGCAGGGCTTGGCTGCGAACGAAGACCTGGGCCTGCAGAGCTCTCTAAGCGCACTGGTCTGCGGGTGGATCGCCTGTGCAGCAGCTCTGGCCCTGCTCCGGCACCGGGAGCCCTGCCTGCCCGGCAGGCAGGAGGTCTGGCGGCGCGACAGACCCCCATCCGGGGTGCAGAGAGATGCTTTGAGCCACAGGCAGGGCAGTGCAAACTGCACATGTAATTCACGGCCGCTTTCTGGCTGTGGCTGGTGCTAAATGAATGAATCCCTTTGAGCGAGGAGCGGGGGCGTCTCCAAAATATAAAGGGCCGATTGGGGCAGAGGGGTGAGGCTGTTGCTTCAGGGCAGGGGAAGGGCAGGCAGAGAGGCTTGTTCCACAAATGATTAAGCCTCTTACTCACCAGACAAAATTGCGGTTGGTGATCTACGGATGCCAACTTCCTCTGTCACCTGTGCCGGGCTGCGGCTGTCCTTAGCCCCGCCAGCCAGGGAGGGAAGGGAGGGAGGGAGAAAACCCTTTAGGGCCAAGCCGTGGCTGGGGGCGGCGGGATGGAGGAGCTCCTGGGGTTCCCTGTTTCACCCACCCTTTACTCTCTGCAGCTCTCATCTCGCAGGGAAGGCGGCCGGCAGGGGCTGCGGAGGCTGCCCACCTGCCCCGGGGAGGAGGGAAGGCGGCCAGTGCTGCTGGCGTGAGCTGCTCGGACCCCCGCGAGTCCTCCCCTTCGCCCAAGAAGTCTCTTTGTTTCCTCTGATCATAATCAAGAGCTTTTGCACAGGTTCCTGGGGCTTCCTACTGAGGAGGTGTGTATTGGCCTTCTGGAAGGGGATGCTGCTCCCCAGCTGCCGCTGCCCCTGGTATCGCTCGCTCTCCGTAGCTGGCTGTCCCAAACCGAAGCGTGCACAGAGGTTTACAAATTTTCTAAAGCTTTTGATAATGTGAAGCTCCTGGGTGATGAGGTTGGTGGTGAGCACACTGCAGCTATGTAATTTTTTGTGTATGTATGTAATATTTAAGGGTAACAAAATTTAAAAGGCTAAAACCTTAAAAAAAAAGTAATTAAAAACACACAAAAAAAGCCAAAGCATGATGCATATTGTTAGCCTTAAAACTGGCTACATGACTGTGTGATGTACAAATGAGAGCAGCCTGTAACTGTTTTAAGTGCTGGGGTTGGGGAAGAAGCATTACAAAATCAGTTTGTAGCCTTGATTCTGTACAGTATTTAATGAAAAAAAAAAAAAGACCTGACTATTGAGGCCATGCTTAGAGGTGTGTCGTTCACGTGCAGATGTGGATGCTTGGTTGCTTACGATATATGTATGCTGTGTGACCATTAAAACTTTTTTTACCTGCAGACTTTTTTTTTTGTTTGGCTAACCAAGGTGTAATAAAGGAGGGAAGATGACTTGCCATTAAATTTTGCCTCTGTGAGTAGTTCTGACTGTTGTCTCTTTCTTGCCCCCCCCCGCCACGCTTGGCACTTGCCTCATCCCCGGCGTGCGTCCCTGCGCCAGGGTCTGGATGGGGTCCCGCTGGCTGAAGTCAACGGCGCGGAGAGGGCAGCGAGTCCGGAGGGAGCCAGACAGATCTGGCAGCGAGGGGCTGCCCCCGTGGCTCTGCTATAAACTAGCTCCCCGAAACCCTGATTCGCAGGACATCTGTCAGGCTTTTTTTTTATTTATTTATTTTATTTTCCGTGCTCTTTGCTGGCGTGTGGTGCGTGCGGGCTGCCTGGCGGCTCGGCGTGTGCCGCACCACGGCTGGCGGCTCAACTGGCCGCTGCCCCG